GACTTCGCAATTAACAACAACAACAGTGCAGAGAAGGTGAAAGTCCTCACTGGGATTTTTAGATTTCCTAAGTGATGTGGAAACTTTAACCTCCTGAAAGTTTTGTAGAGAACAAAGTGGACCAAGTAAATAAGGAATATTACACCCTGAAGCAGGAGAGAGGGAGAGAGAGGGGAGAGAGAGAGAGAGAGAGAGAGAGAGAGAGAGAGAGAGAGAGAGAGAGAGAGAGAGAGAGAGAGAGAGAGAGAGAGAGAGAGAGAGCTGCCTGATATTCTCATCTTTCCCCCATAGCTTTTCATCACCTCTCAGTCTAAAGGAGGGGTGATATCCTAGGTGTTTGCTCAAGAATGACTTGGAGAAGCTTCTGTTTGTTTTTAAAGGCTGATAAACATCCCTGACCCCAGAGAAGAACTTGGCAGCGAGAAGGGAAAAGAGCTGGGCTTATATTGACTCTGAGTTCTCCAAAGGGTGGCAGTTGAGGAGGGAAACAATCCAATGCATGTAGAAAGAAAAGGATCCTCTGTCTCTTGAGTGACATTTTGCTCCACTTGCTTTACAGGTATGGGCAGTTAAGTGGCATGGTGGAGCCCCTAGCTGGCATCTTTGGTGCTTTTGCCATGGGGCTAGCAGAGCCTCTCCTCCCATTTGCTTTGGCTTTTGCTGCTGGAGCAATGGTGTATGTGGTGATGGATGATATCATCCCAGAAGCACAGATCAGGTGAGGACCTGGTTTATTTGCATCTGATCAACTTTAAAATCCTAGAGGAAATTTTTTCTTAGTCTAGTAAATAATCATTTGTAAATAATCATTATATATTTATAATTTAATAATTAGTAATAACCAGTAATTAGTAATAATCTACTTAGTAATTAGTAATAATCTACTTAGTAATTAGTAATAGGTACTACTACCAATTAGTAATTGATAATATACTTAATAATTACTTAATAATTAGTAACACTATTTCTAAATAGTAATTAGCAATAATCTACTTAAATTATTACCTTTTTGCTGACCCTGTATTGTTGACCTTCTACACTTATATCCAGAATACTTTACTGAAGCAGCTAGGAGCAGCAATTAACTGAAAAATCACAACTTTCATTAGTTTGAGGATCAACTTCATCAACACTTGATTGAACCCAACTAAAAAAATCAGAAATTACATTCCATCTTCAGTAGACTACTTTATTTTGGAAGGATACACAATTGTTTGTTTTCTGCAGTGGTGAAAGGAAACAACCAGAGCCTTTGTGACCAGTGTATCACAATCAGATGGGTCAGAAATGGCCCAAATGGCTTTCTTACGATTAAGCTTTCTCACTGAGCACAGACCACTCACAGTAACAATTTCATTACCAGCTGTCAAAGCCGAACATTTATATAACATTTACAGTACTGCAACTTCCACATCTCTCCAACATTGTAGAGTCCTTCTATATTTAAAAGGACTGTTTTGTCTTCAATTCTTACTTGATCTTACTCAATAAAGAAAAGTGGTTGCTTATGTATAACTGCAGCTCTCTAAGTGGCCATCTTGACTTCAAAGAATCCACCTAACCTCCTCATTGAGGTCTGAGGATATCTGATAATTTTCTGACATGAGTGCTACATGTCAGGTAAAACTCCTACTAGAAAATCATAGGGTTTGGAGTATATCAACAATAGACTATGCAAGTGTGGAACCCAATAGTGTAATTTCACAGATAACTGTGAACCCAGTCATTTCACAGGTAGCGATGTGCATGTTCAGTTTTATATTTGTTCTGGTATAATGGCTTAATAGTAACACAAATTGATTCTGAATATTATGTTATCAGTACTCCAATATCAACATATACTGTACTGTAGGGGTGTCAAACTGCCGGCCCACGGGCCGGACACGTCATCCGGAAGCTGCGCCCATCCCATTGCCGGCAATGGCAAAACTGTCCCAATATGTCTCGCAACGTCACGTGATGTCGCGAGTTTGACATGTCTGCTGTACTGTATTCCAGAATCACTTCATGATAGCAAGGAAAATGTTTGTGTGCTTGAATCAAGTTAGAATGAAGTATCCAAGCAGGAAATAGTAATTTGTTACTTTGGCTAAGCCCCAAAATTAATATAAGGCTGTATGGTAGATATACTGTGGTGAAACATATAAAACACACAGATGTCCTGAAAACTTTGAGAGCTAAATATTTAAGAATCAATTTATTCCTTGCAATATGAACTGCTTACACAGAAGGAAAGGTAGAGAAGCTTTTAGAGGTAAGTTGAGCACTTTAGGAAATCTTTCGGTTTCAAGATTTTTTTTTTAAGTCCTATAAATTCTAAAAGTATCGTTCTTAGCAAACAAAAAATGTTATTGCTTTTTCTTTTTCTTTTTAGTGGCAATGGGAAGCTGGCTTCCTGGACCGCCATCTTAGGATTTGTGGTTATGATGTCCCTGGATGTAGGACTTGGATAATAAGAAATAATGCCTTTTTTCAAATTGAAAATGCATCAAAATGCATCAAAACAGGAGAAATTGCACAGCAGAAATTGCAGCTGGACTATTATATTTTACATTATTGTGTGGAACTGAGCTGGTATTGATTTAATTATATTTAAACTTGTCATAATATATATGGAGATGATCTTGGGAAGCAGGTTCTTTTTGTGCATTTGTTCTTTTGCCTCTAATTAGTTCTGTTTCTTCAAGGCTGTTGGTTATGAAGCTTAATCAAGAGTTTTAAGAGGTTTTTTTTATTCTTCTCATTGTTGATGCAGGTTTCCATAAATGTAACTGTCCAGTATGGTCTATAATTGATGGTCTTTGCTGTATGTATTGTGTTGTATGGAACAAAGTGGGACAGCCTCAGAAACCTTCAAGGCTTATAGTTTTCTATTGACGCACAATGACCAACAACACAGGTGTGTTGAGTCTTTTCTTCAGGAATTTGGAAATATTTACTTTTATAAGTTGCCGAAATAAATAGTTTGTTTTTTTAAATAATCAAGAGCATAGATTAGATTTTAGGAGATTTACTTGGATAGCAAGGCTGAATTGCTAATGTGCCCTTTAAAACATCCTGCACTAAACAGTTCTCAGCAGTAAATCTCTGTAGGTGGATCAGAATTTCTTGACAATGTATAGTTTGTTCTGCATTGTCACTGCAAGTAAAAAAAGACAGTAGTGTTTTGTTTCATTGTTTAAACCAATAATAATACACCTGTTCCAAACTTTTTTCTACCTTTGGGGATCAATGGTAAATGGTCTTGTGTTTAAAAAAATGTTTTGAGGAATTGCACTGGATATAAAGATGGCATGACTCAACAAAGGTTAATATAAACAAATCATTTTTTCTAACTATCTGACAAATCTGTCATAAATGTGTGCCAAGGCCCTTGTGTAAGAAGATAACATCCACGAGGCTGTACAGTCTGAAGGACTAGACAATTTTACAGATCCAGCAAGAGAACTTAGTATATGTATGGGATGTACTTTTGACTCAGGACTGTTTGCTTTACATTTCCAGTATTTATTCTTCCAAATGAAGCCTTAAGAATTGTGCTTGAGATCTCTCTTCCTAGAGGTTACCAGTGGGGTTCATGCAAATGGATAAATACTGCCAATAGTAGCCCCATTCCTAGCCTATACCGTAGTGGTAATTAGTTAGGCTTTTCTGATAATTCTTAGTATCCCAGGAGAGATGGAATATTAGATGATTGTTTCCAGACCTAAATGAATACTCTAGAGTAAAGCTTTCTAAGAGCCATGCAACTTCCATTAACTAACAAGTATTCTTGAACAAAATTAAATTATATAGAATTGTTTCTTCATTTTGACGAAGGGGTTTGTTATTGTGCACAAGGACCAGTACAGAATGATGTTTGTAATTGATTTTTTTCTTTAAAAAAAAATCTGAATAAAAAAGGATCAATAATGTGTGTGGGTGTAATGGGCCAATTCTTTATTCTTCTCTTTTCATCCCACTTACTTTTTTCTGACTTGCCAGACTCTTCAGCAACCTTTTAGTATATACTACTATTTGGACTCAAATTAATTCGAGTTTATCAGACCTTTGATCTCTCTGCATGCTGCATTTGGTAGATATTTTTATTATAAAAATATAAGCCAGTATCCTTTTAATCAACGTAGTCAAGCTGATTCTACGCATTCATATTGTTTACTGGCATTGGTAACGCAATTGCTTGAAATATCAACCAGTCTCCCTTCCAATCTATAAAGGATACATTGAAGAGTGAGCCATTCTTATTAGAAAGTCTGCATTTCTGGCACCAGAAAACATCTGGCCTTTCCTTTCATTATAGAGCCATGACAGATGTTACCTACTACAGTATATTTCTTGCTCTACCTCAAGCTGCAAACTGAAAGCCTGTGAAAAGAATTTTCTATCAGTTGCACCCTTTGAAATGCCTATCATGTCTGTGACATCTGGTATTCTCAATTTGTCCTTTCATAACAAGTTAAAAGCAATCTACCATTAGGAGTGTTGGTCTTAGGGAAGGTTAAGGCTCTAGGGATCTTGAAATCATTAGGGCTATTTGTCCTGTCATGGTTGCTTTGCAGAACTTCATTAATACAGAAGGCTTTCTGGGACCACGTGTTTTGATTTCTTTTGATAAGTTAAAGAGAAATGCTTAAGGGTTTCTAAATAAAGCAACTCCTGGAGGTCATCCAGCAGATGCAGTGATATCTGGAAGATACTGGAAGAGTTCTGGCTGATTTTTTTTTCTTCAATTTCTTCTTGGGATTTTGTAGGAATTAAAGGTGGAATTGAGAAAGGAAGTTTGGGGGAACCACTTTGCTTCTATTCACAACATCAAAATCTGACCATTTTGCTGTGGAATTTGAGATCGTGATTTTAGAGGTACAAATTGCCCAGTAGCATTACAGAGTAATAATTAACGAAATGTTCTATCATAGACTTTCAGTTCATCTCAGTTAATAGTATGTTTGAATGGGGTGACGTGTTCTCCGAGCCCCAGCCTTTAAAACCGGAGATAAAATCAGGAGAAATCCCCGAGGTTGCTTGCTTGCTACCTTATATTTTACTACCAGAAGGTCTGGATGTGCCCAGCTACAACTTCAGTCACTTCACAGAGATGACAAGAACGAGATTTGCTCTAGAAGCAACATGGGGAATAAGTTCTAGCCCTGCCTCTGTAGAACAACATATCCATCCTGCTTCTTGGTTAAACAAACCTGGCCAGAAATGAGCAAAAGAAGAGGGTTTGCAGCCAGCCTGTTGGAGTGCCTTCCACACTGTTTCCTGTCCTCTTTGCTCTCTTTTTGCTGCTGAGTCAGTGAGGAAGCCTGTCTGCTTCTACCTGTATGGCTCTCCCTGGGCTGAGGTGGAGCTTCTTCCTCAAGGGACCTCATGCGGCTACTTGGTGTTTACTCATAAGGCGGGGGGGGGAGGGTTGGTGGAGGAAAGGTGCAGCGCAGTGTGGTTGTGGTTTCTAGGGAGGAGGCAGGAACAAGAATAGCCAAGGAGAGCTTTGCACGCAACTAAACAATAATCTTATTATTATAACTGATGCCGTAAAACAGCACAAAACTGACAAGGGCTCTCTTCATGCTGGAGCTGGAAGAAATGGTTGTACCTGAGTCACTGCTCATAAAGAGAGCCTGATTTCACCTGCTAACCCAATCTGTTCCTGGGGGTGGAACCCAAAGACAAAATGCTTTCTGTTCATAGTTGTTGGGGGTTTTAAGTTGCTCTTTGTTAGGTGCTTGGCACCAGAGTAGCAATTAAAAGTGAGACACGCAGAGGCGTCTGTCTCCCAAGTCAAGGGCAAAGGTTCTCTTGACTGCAGCATTTTAGGACTGTCTCCTGTATGTGATTGTAATTAATAATAGCGGATTTTGCCCAGGCAATATTGAAGTCTATCCAATGCAAACTTAAAAGTGGTGTCAAGGAACAGGAAAAGGACAGGGCTTCATTTAGAGTAGAGGTGCAAACCCTTGGTGGCCAACACTTGAAATGGGAGGGGGGCCCTCAGTGTCACCAAGTAAGGGAAATTGGGGAGAAGTAGGGAGGGATTTTTCTTTGTTTGTTCAATTACAGTACGCCATTTTTAAGGCTTGTCCCTGAAATAATGAGAAACTGCACTGTGAGCTTTAAGTAATAATGATTAGAAGGAACTTGGCCACAAAAACAGAATTTGGGTTGCATTTTGCCCTGGAGCCACCAGTTAATCAGCCCTGTAAATGAATGGAATCATTTTACAACTTGTATATATACTTTCAGAAAGGCCCAGTGTATGGTTTGTTTTCAGTGGGTAGGCAGTGATATCGGAGGACTTTTGCCACCACTAATTTCATTCGGTTAGGCAGAGGGTCTCTGCAGGGCTGGAGTAAAAATGAAAGAAGGTGACTACAACTGCACAACCAAATCATTAACAAAGGGTTGTATTTCTACTGAGTAATTGTACAGCCACCTTGACATTTTTAACCCCCATCCTTTAGATCAGGGATAGGCAGCCTTGGCTCTTTTATGACTTGTGAACTTCAACTTCCAGAATTCCTGAGCCAGCCATGCTGGCTCAGGAATTCTAGGAGTTGAAGTCCACGAGTCATAAAAGAGCCAAGGTTGCCTACCCCTGCTTTAGATCCTCCCAATTTAGCAATGCCCACAAATGTGGCTGCCAAAAGCTGGTCTAGTCTGCAAAATTAATCTCTGATCAAAATTGTTTCAGTTATTTGAGGGTTGGCCCTGGCTAAATGCCAGTAAGTGATCTGAACTGTAATTCCTTCTCTGACACAAAGACCCATATTTTCTATTTCCACTGATATGGCTCACAAGACGCCATTTTACAAGGAAGCTTACTCAAGTATATCCAAGGAGAACTTTGATTCTTGGATATGCAAAACTCTTTTGGAAGGGGGAGGGGGGAATCTAGCAATAGTTCTTGCAGCTGCTATGCATGAGACAACTTCTGGTTAACTGCAGACTTAACTGAGAGTGCCCTGTTATTTTATTTCATGTTTAGAAGCCATGACTTTGCAATCCTGGCCGGAGAAAATATAGGTACCCACAGATTGAAGTGAGGATGGGGAGAGCAGATATAGCATCTTCTCTACTTTTCTAATTGTTTTACTTTACTGTCGATTGGCATCTGCATTGTGTCTGGCAATTTTAAACAGTTAAAAATAAGTTGTCTTTTCCTCCACATTTCTCGTAATTTTGATTTGCTTTTAAGATGTCATCAAGGCATTTGTTTTCCCTCCAGTGCTGACTCTTTTAAGTAAAGAGGATGTCAAACATAACTCTTCAGGTCCTACTGAAAACCCTCCAATGAAGTTTCACAGCTGTTTCAAATGTCAGCAAAATGAGAGAGGGAAGCTGTGGAGTTGGAGACCCCTTTGCTGGATTTTATCTGGGAGGAGATTGTCAGAGGTCTGAACCCCTGGCACAGTTCATGCCCTCAGCTGAGAAGCCAGGCATTTCAGCATGACCCACAACTACCAAGCAAGCTGTACACTTAGTTGCTAAATAGGAGCTGCCATTGTTTTGTTGATTTTCATTCAATAGATTTCATATATGACGAACATAAATGGACGCTCTGGTGATTAAGTTTATTATTATTGGGTAATTTGTATGTTACCAATGGTAGTTGTAATGGCATTGCATCAAGG